TATATATATATATATATATTCTGGATATAACCATACCGGTGCCAATGCCCGCCGCTGAACATAAATCTATCCTCCCTATCTTCGATCGCTCCCCTCCGTCCTCCCTCCTCTGCTGATAAAGAACCCTTTGTTATCATATGATCCCCAACCTTAACCCAACCAGGCCAACAAACCCCGGGTTCTCCCTCTCGCATATTTCTCCCCAGTAACGATCACTTTCCTCGAATATCTTTCCGTAACCACCCTATTCCGCCTTGCAATCTTACACCCGAAACTGCCCCCCTGCCTCGTGACCCTTATCGATCTCAAACGCATAATCAATTTCCTATACCCTACCCACCTCCTCCCCAACTGATCCTCTGATTTACAATCATGTCTGCCCCACAACCACGATTCCCCTTCCCCCCTCCCCCCACCTAACCCTGACCAATACTGACCTATACTCCCGCCCCCTGACACAAACACCCCAATCTCTCCGGAAAAGGTGATTACGGACACTAATTGAATGTTCCTCACATATATGGTAGTAAAGATGATATGCGCAGTGATCCCCTTGAGTGATGATTTAAGAATATGATCGAATGACATTGCAATGTCCACATAAATCCTTACTATCTTCCCAGTATAAACACTTGGCGAGAATGAAGCAATTGTCTGAGTAGCTGAGATTTCAAATATGTAATACTAATCGTACTAACAGCTACCTCTTCCGATACTGACAAACCTTCTCCACCTTACTACAATGATATATAACCCCCGAACTACCCTATTCCCCATGACCCGCCCATAATGCAGTTTCATATCATGCTTGAAGAATACTAAAGGCCTCAACCGCTCTACTCTCTCTCCCTTCTTCTTTCTCCCCCTTGCTCTCGCAATTTGCACGTAATTGTCAAGTTAATCCCTGGTCCCGACCTCTTCCAGGCATACCTAATACACACCCTACGCCAATGACCCTCTTCCAAGCACACCCAATAACCACTTATCACTCAGACAAAGTAAAGACGCACATATTATATTCCCTATTCGATGTCTCAAACTACTATCTCTCCCTCTCCCCATTGCTATCGCACGCGCGCTCCCCCTATCTGTCTCTCCCTCCCTCTCTCTCTCCCTCCCTATACATGATATTTGTACGCTACACATGCGAATCCTTTTTTGAATTCACGATAACATAAGATAATAACAGCTATAAAATGATGTGATGGTTGGACAATCGGAAATTCAGTACGTACACCACATGATGATCGTATGATTTAAAAATCATTCTCCGTGCTTTGATTACTGTATGTTGGAAAAACGCAGTACGAACAGTTCAGTTTGGACTCTGCAGGGAACAAATATAGGCGAAATTTTTTCTTCTCTTCATAGTAGAACATAACAAACGATCCAAAATGATATGATGACTGTGCGGTCGAAAAAAAAACTAGTACACACAGATGCATAATCAATAAAGTACAACAAAAGTACCCACGATCATATACTACCTTTGGATGCACGGAAGTAAGTACGTAAATAGTACGTCAAGCATACCATTCTGATAGATGTCCAGACGAAATCGGGCCTATTTTTCAACCATGCTCTATAAAGCAACAACATGAAGACATCCTAGCACCCCCATAGTCACACGCAAGATTCAGACACTACACAAAAAAATAAAAAAAGTACTAGGAAACCTGCTTGGTTCCAGATGACAATCCCCCTGAACACAATAACTCTTTCGACAAAGCTATCATTTACCTTAAACTTTTTTATGGAATAACTACATATTAAACTACGACATGTCAAAAATCCAAGTGGATAAAATACCCCCTCATATAGTAATGATGAGCATACTAATAGATATAAAAAAACTACAATCAAACATTACAAATGAACTGCTTTCCGGATCATAGTCAATGCCTAATGAGAAGTGACACACAACGACTGACTTGATTCGATGTTACCACAAGCTAGGAAAACTTTTTAGTCGACAATTGGTAAGTACATATGCGGCCAATAAAAATTGACCTTTCCATGCACCTAAATGGACAAGACTCCATAAAAACTGACGCACGACATTTGCGTTGTATGCCCTGGTCATATACAACAAAAACGTTTACCAATACAATTACCATCAAAACCATGTGACTACATTAACAACCATTTTTAGTAAAACAAGAAAACACATTCCTTTTGCATTGATACGAATTGACACAAATCTTCCCATACAATGAACAATCACTTTGCACAAACGTTTTATCATTACTCCTTAGAAAATATCTCGCACGAAGGAAGGAAAGAAATTACTCATGACCGTGTTTGTTGAAAAAGGGCGCACTAAAATACTAAGCCACAACGTAGTAAGCGGCTATACAACGTAAAAGCTTGTGTAAAACCCTCGACCCCACAAGAACACGAAAGAGCAGTCGAAAAATCTCACCAAGTACCACACAGAGAACCTGAACAAATAGCTGCGTCGCACCCGAAAACCAAGGGTAAAAGACATACTCCTGAAACTAAAATCCCTCCGGTAACACTTAGGTACCTACCGAATTCCCCCAAAAAAACAAAATCGACATATGTGTACCTGCAAGCGCGCACAACTAAAAAATAACGTGCTAACGTTCTCACGTGATACCCCTGTGTGCACAAAATACAACACTATGACTATAGTACAAGTTGACATGCACTACTCGTTACACTCGCAAGTAACTCGCCACGCTTTACTTCTGAGCCTATGCTTCTTCCTATGAGCACCAGAAACATTAGTGCCACCGTCGACCATATTAAGCATAGGATCTTCACCAAACACGAAGAATGAGCGACGGCAAGATGCGCCGCCATCGCCAATGATAACCTGCCCTGGTTGGCAGCACCCAACGCATGTAATAGCAAACACGTCTAGACAAGGTTAGCACCGATCCCAGACTAACATAGTAAGGCAATCCCCGAGGGAAGAAAGAATGTCACCAGTTGTAGCAATCCCCGATGCGCAACACACCACGCAGATAATGCCGACCACGTAAAGGCAACTCCAATATCGCCTCCCACTCCACAAAATCTACCTGAGCATCTGCATGCTCTTGAAGCAAATCACTAGTCACAAGATCCACTAGGTCGGCTAGCACGTCCTCCCCGCTACTTGCCACCTCATCTGGTATATCGTCCGATGTCTTAGTCATGTAAACCGTGACCTCACATAACAACCCTTCCGCATACCCTAAGCCAACACAGAGCTTCAAAACCATACGCCCATCCGTCATCACCCGGTAATAACGCGCAGAATCACTAGTCACACGACGACTAAATTTGAAATTAAGACCATAACCATCCCCACGACGATGGCGCAGCTCATGCACCTCGATGGCCTTACCACGAATATCACCCACACATGCGATTGAAATATCCATAGCTGAAGTCGTCGGATCCCCCCAAAAAAATAGATGCCCTGCGCTGAATCACTCACTCACGAACACCCACCAATCTGCCCTCTGTCTGGTTACTTCCTCACTCTCCGCACCTGCTTCCTCAACATTCCCGGTCTCGCCTCCTCCTCCCGTTTTTCTCCCCACTTGATCTTCGCCCTGATCACTCTCCCGCCCTCTCTCTCTCTCTCTCTCTCTCTCTCTCTCTCTCTCTCTCTCTCTCTCTCTCTCTCTCTCTCTCTCTCCCCCTCCCCCTCTCACGACCTCGCTCAATCTCTTTTTTTTTTCCTCCACAACACCATTCCAGATTAAGCTCCGTATGATAAGTTGCGTTTCCCCCTCTCCTGCTCTGCGCCTTATAAAGACGCTACGACAACGTACACTTACACCTAATCACAGGAATTACACCACCTGATCTTGACAAGCGCTATCTTCCCAATACAAGCCGCCCTAGCATGCTCCACCACAAACCTGGATTCCACCCTCAACAATCGTTCCTCACTCCCACTGTCTCTCTCTCACCACTCTTTTTTCCCAACCCAGCTAATAATGATGATTATCCAAAGGCGATACTCCCACAACAATGCTTAGTGGCACCGCATAACCTCCGAATGACGGGGCTTTATAGCTCTACCGACCCCTACCTTCAAGTAAGTCTCCCTGACCCCAACGTTTGACAGAATTAGCCTTTCCCGACACATAAAACAGAAAACACGTACTGCCCCCATCACCAAAGATTACCCATACCCAATACCAGTAATACTCACACAAAATAACATGAACATACACCTTGCTTCATGATTTAGAACCTTTCCTTCAATAGAACTAAGCTTCCCCCTCTGCAAAACAAAAGTCGTCACTAAGTTGCAGGGGTACGAAATAAACCGGCTACCGATAACTGAGAAACCTAACCCTATTTTCGCCAGAACAAAAAAACAAGCTCCTCCGATACCCATAAAACCTCGACACCAAACCAAATCGATTCGTTTTCCTGACAACGACTAGCCGCACACCACGGCTCCCTACAAAACCACTTAGAAAAATATAAAATTATGAAAAATAAAAATAAAAATAAACAAACCACTGACGTGGCATAGTAAAACCCAACATATTACGCAATTAAGGTATAAGTGATGCTCCACTTGATACGGCACAGAGCACCCCTCCTGCTAAACCCCTGCCCGAAGAAAAGTAAAACCCCTTACAATTTGTTATCAACCCCCGGCCAGCCATAACCCCTGAACCCCCCTCGCACAGCAATGCTAATTTTTGCTTCGTTACAAAACATGTGCAGGATGAAGATAGCATCCTCATGGGTTGGCACCCAGAACTTGCGGCCGCCATCAGGCCGTTCTCAGCACTGCAGCCGCCCAGCGTACACTGCCAGCTCGCCATGCTTGTCATTCCTGCGGATATGTTAGTGCAAATATATGAAGTGACTCTGGGACATACCCCTTTTCTGATTGAGAACCTCTCATTCAGGGACTGGGCTTCCCTTGTCTCTATCATGCAATGCAGACCACACGAACTGAACGCCAAGATCCAAGAACTAGCAAGCAATATTACCGATGCATGCAGGAAAGCCGCAATCGAGAACCGGGAGCTGAACCTCATCATTGCCAAGGCCGAGAAGATTATTCTCGAACTCCATGGCCATGATGCATCGCATCCGGACGCTGTTGGTCAAGTCTCCGTTACCGAAAGTAACGAGACATTCAGCAATGCTTACATCGATCGAATGGCGTTGTCACAAGTCGAGTTAGAGTACCTCAAGAAGAAGGAGGCAGAACGAAAGAACAACGCACGCACAAAGATTAACCCGCTTGCAAGAGACGCTGGGCACAAGTTTGCCAAGAATAGCCCATTCTTGTCACTAGCCTCGAGCACATGGACTGAGAAAGCGGTGCAACGCGTGCACAATCGCTTATGGAAGCTTGATACTTTCAATTACACGGCACCAATCAGCGTAAAGGCGTATATGGCACTCGCCGGGCTCACCAATGCTGACATAGACAACTGTCGAACTGCTGCCAGAAATGGCACCATCTACTTCCCAGGAGCAAGGGGTGGACTGGATGCTAACTTCCCTCCAATCGCCAAGCTGGAGAAAGGGAAGTGCCCGAAGAAACCCCTGTTGCACTAGAAAGGCATACCAAAATTCCGAGCAAATCTACCTGAACTCAAGAAGCTCTTGAACGCCGGAAGACCATACGTGAAGTGTGCATGTCTCGGATGTGAAAATAGCTTCACATGGTTCGACCATATGATATGGTATGTAATTGGCAATCTGGACAAGATTGACTCAGAAGCACCATCAGACAAAATCAGAATGCTCGAGTTCCAAGCACTCTTGCGTACAACATGGAAGAAGCCTATCCTGGCGCAAATTTCCTTCATCTTCATGCGAGAGTACATGATCAAGATCGTGCATCTCCTGGTACAGAACAGAAACATCTCGGTGGACGAAATCCTCAATTTTGAGGATTTCATGAATGTCCTTTTCGTACACAAATTCACCGCTGCTCTTGTACCTAACGCTGAGGACGTCCTAGCACGGATAATGGGCAAACCAAACCCTCATGATGTCGAAGACAACTCTTTGAGGAGATGTCGACAAATGAGGCTTGGTAGCACACCTTCATCAACTGTGACGCTCATCACCCCAACCAGGACGCACTCCGCAACACAGCTACAATAGACGCGCACTGTCAACACACCTACGGGACACAGCAACGCATCACAGACACCAGGCAATGCACCCAACATCGCCACTCGCACTCCCACTGCCAGTACCACCAACGGACGCACAACGCTTGCACAGAACGGTCAACAGCACGCTGCTGGCAACTCTGCCTCCACAACCGTAGCCGCATGCACGCCACCAGCAAACCACAACATCCCAGTATTCAACGAAGTGCAAACTGACCAAAACCGTCACACAACACCAGCACAACAACAGAGACCTGGCACGAATATTCTTAATAATACAAGACTGCATGACCTGGGTACCTACCAGAGGATGGGTAATGCTTTTGCCCTTGCAGCTGCACAGCTTTCGGCGCGACAGACCCGCCCTCTCAACACCTTTGATGCCAATCTGAGAGATGCACAACTTACGGCACTACAATCCGGCACTCTCAGCACCACCGATGCCACTCTGAGAACTGCACAGCCTACGGCACGACAGACCGCCCCCCCCAACACCACCAATATCACTCCGATATCTCCCCCGCACACGGTGAACTCGACACCATTTGGTGCCTGCACAGGCTAAGGCTTAACCACTGCTATCCCCATAACCCTTAACCTCCGTACAACAGCACAAAACCAAACTTGCACGGAAGCCGAAAGACTGGCACGTAGGCGCACACAGCTTTTCAGCATCATAATGAACCCCCTCCCATAACCTCCTAGAGCAAGGTCCAAAAGAGGAAACAAGGCGCAAAGACTGAAGCAGGTCCAAGAAGGTATGCAGACTAGAAGACAGACAAGGAAGAAAGCGGCCCAGTATGACCGGAGGCAACCAGACATGCATGACATCCTCATGACGCAGCAACAATGGTAGATGGCGACAGCCGCCCAACAACAAGCACTGGCACAATAACTGATTGCCACAGCATGTGCTCAAGCACAGGCAAACACAACCGCCCCACCGCAGGCAAATCAGCAATGGGCCCCACCGGCTGAGAATGCACAGAGGAACTGGGCCGAGCACATCACCGCCAAGCAACACGTGTCTGAAAATCACGAAGTTATCCAGGTTAGCAGCGGAGATGCTGAGAAAGGTGACGAAAGGATGCTCCCCATCGCAATTAGCTCAACATCGCCTGAAACTCCGATCGGACCAGTTTCTGCTATGGATGCACTCAGAGTAAACTATGGTGCCAGCAGCGCCGAGTCCTCTCTGCTCAGAACAAAGAGCGACTGCACGGCCCTGGAAACTGGGTCTCAATCATCTCAGGAGTCATGGAAACGAGTTTGCCGGAGGCTTAGCCCAGATTACCAACCTAACTTCGCGAGCATCACGAGAAGTTAGACTAGCGCAAAGCTACAATGGTCTGTAGCTCAGTTGATCAGACCCCCGAGCCAAACAGACAGAGCATACGGCATATGCTTTTTTTTTGTTATGGATGATTTAGCATTAGAAAGATTGGATATTGTCACCGGCAGAGTAATGCGGTATAAGTTTTCATGTAGAATGCAGGAGGGCAGATAACAGAGCTCTACTAATAAGGCTAGCGCAGTCTTCGGTTCTTTTGTTGTTTTTTTTACCTAGACTGCCCGAAATAAGTCCCCCAGCTAAACCAGCTAAGGCTGTCGGCTGTTCGGTATAATTTTATTTCGTAATTAATTAAATTTTTTTTTTTTTTTTCCCCGTTCGACAATCACCCTTGATGCGATAAAAAACATTGTCTGCATGAGTACGAATACCTGTGCATGTGGGTGCATGTGTGTGATTCATGACCCTGAGAAGGTATGTGTATGTGTGGGTATATGACACTGACTGGATGACTGTGCGCATATATGTCTGAGTATGCGTATATGTGTGTGAGAGTTTACAAAATAAGAGATCTCTATGTATGAGAAAGTGTGCGTAGATTTTGTGTGTACATGGTTGTGATGCATGATGATGTATTGTTGTGTCTGATTCTGACTAAAACCGTGTATGACTGTGACCGTAGGTTTGTAGACATAACTATGTGGTTGTATGCTTAAGACTATGTATCTGCGTGCATGACGCATGATTGATGTATTTCTGTGCGCATGCAGGACCGTGACTGTGCGCCATCCATATGTGCATATGTATGTAAGGGGGGGTGGGTATGTGTGCATATGTGAGAATACTTGCAAAGAAGCATCTCTATGTGTGAGTGTCTGTGCGTATGTACGTTCGTGCGTGAGTTTGTGTGAGTGTTTGTGCGTATGTGCGGCTGGGAGTAGGATCTCTATGTCCGTGAGTGTGTGTGTGACTGCATGTCAGTAATGCATGACCACGTATTTCCGCGTGTGTCTGTGTGTGCCCAGGACTGTGATAGTTTGTATATGTGTGGGGGTATGTGTATGCGTGTCTATGCAATTGTGAGTATACTTGTCCGAAGTGACTACATGGGCGTATCCTTTAAAGGCATGTAAATTTGTGTGCAAATGCATGCGTACTTCCAAATAGAATCTTCACATGTGTCAATATGCATTGTGAATATGTGTGTATTGTCTGTATACATGCCTATGTATACCTCTCTGTGTGTCGATGGAGCATGATGATGCATGTCTCAGTATGTCTGTATATGTGCGTAACTGACACTATGTCTGCGTGTGTGATGCTGTGTATGTGTACGTAATCTCTTTGTCCTCCCTCCCTGTCTCAAGTTTATGCTTAAACGCACATCCAAAATTCAAACCAAAGGAGTACAAATGTCTGCTTACCCCTCCAGAACACCAAATTGATATCGGTGCCTAAATAAAATAATAGTGCATGATGGCCCCACCCATTTACAGCTACTACCCAAAATACACAACGACTAAATACTAAAGCATAGCAGTAAAATTAAACCAAGTCCATACCCAACTAAAACCGCACCTTATATAAGAACTCGCATAACTAAGCAGGCCACACAACTTCTTACAAACACCTCCCTAAATCGCCAACAACATATTGACCTTATACCTGGATCGTTTGTGCAGGACACAAGGCTGCAAACAATGGATGATGGAAGACTCGGATGGAGAAATAGTAAAAACCTTGACAAAAACATAATCTTCTGCCACTACGTTAACCGGCTTATGGACAGATTCAAATTCAGATATATTTTCGAAAGAATACTCTAAAAACATAGACCTGATGCGGTACCAATACTTGAAAAATTTACCTTTTCATGGACCTATAACGACCATATATTGAAAACCCTATATAAACCAGCAACAGTATTCCATGACTTAAATCTTATGGATTGGACAGAGCTTTTGCCTCAGACTTGCTATTGCCAACAAACGAAGTTCCAATAGTACACGAATCAACTCCCCTCCGGAATGCTACCCACACAAGAAGCTGCACACGTCACGACATTAGACCTCAACATCACAACCAACACTGAGCTACGCAAAATAATGGCTATGGGACTCAACCACATCCCTCCGGCCACCACAAACATAGATGATGTAATATCTGCTACGCTATAGCTATGGACACAGTTCACTGCCATGTTAATAAAACTAGGGATGTCGCTTTATGATGAACCCAAGGCCAAACAAGACTATGACAAAGTCATTAAAAAGAATTTTGAAAATGTAAGACTCCACACTGCTGCACGATTACAAGAATATGCAATAAACCATGAAATCAACTACCTCACCAAGCATTTTTACATCTCCGGTGTCGACAAAGCTCCCAACACACCAATTATCACATGCATCAATCTGGTAAGATTTATCGCCCTCCAGAGACTTTGTAGTCCCGACTTTGAACCCCACGAAATCACAGCCACCGAACTACTGCACCTCATGAATGAACAATTGACCACCAAATTCCCTGACATACCAATTGCCAAAATGACACTACCATACCTCTTTGCTACCTACAAAAAACAAAAAAATGCATTCAGATGGTTAACTAATACCTCTGACGTCATTACTACACCCCTTGCAGACCTCGCAGCGGCTGTTTTGACTGCGCTAATAAGAATGGTCAAACTACACTGTGGAGAAATGACTCGAAAAACACTTGAAAATCTCGGTATCAAAGTACCATTCTGGTGGCCTATAGACTCAACCTCATATTACACTTATAATCTACCCCATAAGGTAACATCTGTATTTTCAGTAGATATCACACGCTGCTACGAAACCATACCTATAGACAGCAGTAAAGACAGCTTACCTGACGCCATCCTATTTTTTTCAAAACTTGCTTTTAAACAAGCAAAAAATACCTATGGCAACGGGGTTAAACTTGCCTGCAAATTCCACTGCAATAATGGCATATGGACTCCTACATGTGACTGGTACATTAACCCACCTAACGGATTCCTCATCATGAACAGCACTGCAGTCAATAAAATCAATAACTGGCTAATTAAAAATGCATATACCTCCCTCGGTAGCAAAATCTGGAGACAAATACTGGGGATCCCGATGGGAGTAAGTTGTTCACCAGTCTGGTGCAACATCTACTTCTTCAAATATGAATTCAAGTTTATGAAAAAATTAACTAACAAAAATAATACACACTCGTTGTACCTTTTTCAACATGTCTTCCGCTATTTCGATGATTTTCACATTATCAACAATCACAAAATCCACGACTTTCTAAACCCAGCCATCACCAGCACACGCAGCAAATACTACATATATCCTCTTCACCTAATCACCCTAAATGAACAAACAACGCAAAAAACGCAAAAAACGCAAGTAAATGACCTCACCATTGGAACCCAAACCGACTTCCTCAACACTACAATAACTATCACAAACCCGCAAATTGGCACATACATGACAAGTAAATATGACAAACGAAGAGAGCTCAACTTCCCCCATCGCCCGATTTGTTCAAGCCAACTCCAACAGACCCATCCAGCAATCACTCAACCTACTAATACCCCAGATCATAACAATAGTGACAATCGAATCCGAACCCCTGTATGTCGCAGAAGAAATATACCAAACAATCCTCTGCCTCATACGAAATGGTTTTAAGAAGCAGAGACTCTGCGGAATTGCAAGAAAAGTCCTTAGTAACGCTTTGAATAACCAGCCCTTCAAATGCAACCCCCAAGACACACTACAGCATTTGCTACAGTTCTCAAACCATACATAAACCATAAAACATTGTCAAAAGATTCCGCTGATTATAATAACACTCCACCACACCGAACAAAAGTTCCTCACTTAACACAATGTGCGTGTGTGCATCAGCCTAAAAAATAAAACAGGCATGGTTCGGATGGAGGACCTATCCCAGCTGGGGTAGGTCCAACATCCATGAACCTACCCCTTGGGACCCCATCACGAGGGTACGGGAAGGGACATACACACACACACACACACACACACACACACACACACACACACACACACACACACACACACATACAGCATATTCATTTCTTAATAATATTAAAAGTAATTAAGTAAGTAATTTAGTAAATAAATAATAAAATAAAAATAAGTAAAATAACAAAAATAAAATATAAAATATAAAATAAAATAAATAATTAAAATATATATATATAAATTTAATAAATAAAGTAAATAAATAAAATAAATAAATAAAGTAAACTAGTAAATAAATAATAAAAATTAATAAAAGAAATTAATAAATAAATAAATTAATTAATTTTAAAAAAAGAGAAAAAAAAATGAAATAAAATGAAATAAATAAGTTAAATAAATAAAAAAATTAAAAAAAAATAAAAATAAAAATAAAATAAGATTAAATTAAATTAAATAAAAAATTGTATAAAATAATAAGGTAAGTACCTAACCTGCCAATAAAACGAAGGAAACTTCAAAGGATTGCCTACAACCCCGATCCCAACCCACCGATAGCCTAGTGCACGCCTTTTTTGCAATTTGACAAAGCTTTGATATGTGTACCACATAACTAGGCATACCAGTTATTGGTCACCGGCTTCCTGCTTGATAGAAATATGGAATTAAAAATAACAACATAAAAATAAAGAGCGAACAGAAGACGGGCAAATAAAACAAAAGTAAAACCCGTTTTTTTCATGCGTCACGACCACTAATGCACAATCCCGAAACGACACAACTGACACGCAAGAATACAAACACGCGCACGAGGAAGGAAGAGTAGATACGACGAAAAACGAGTACGGACATAGCCACACATCATCCAATTACGACGAAAAAATGACCTTCTGCAATACACTATGAGACAACATGCACCCTACCCCTAATTAGTTCCCAGCAACAACTACACCGGCGCAAAGCGCAGCTGCAATATACCCCATATCCCCCCTACAGAGCAAGGCTATCCACTACACAGCTACCTGCCACCTATCCGAATCTCCTACAGAGCTACCCCCAGCAAGCTTCTTGCTTCCTCTTCTCCCCTCTCAGAGCTCGATCTATACGTTCGCACCTCAGATCAACTACACCCGTAAAAACATACAGGAGACACACCACCTCGAAGCGTCACTACAAAACAAAAGTATAGCGCAACACACTACCACCATGGTCCGTCTCCCCCATAAAACACAATAAGCTACAAGACAATAAACAAAAAAACGTTGCGAACCTGCCTCTGCCCACCCACGTTTGCCCACATAGCGCATACCGTCCACTCCAACCCCGCCATCAAAATACGTATTCTCCCTTCCTTACCTGCCGGCCCGTTCCCGCTCCCTGCTATCTCGACACTAACTTGCCCTCTTCCACCCTGTACACCAACAATGCAGATACCGCACACACCCTACGATCTTCGCTACCCACATGATTACCCCTTAAGCATACCCCACAAAATGACCAACCACGCAAAACTCTTATGGCTTGCACTTAGCTACCATTGGCCACACTCTAGATGGCACACGCTACTCCCTTACATATACTCCGTGCTACTCGTCATACCACACCAACGCTGGCCTGCTGTTTCATGCCGCGTGGGAAGCCTTTACATCCGCATCTCCCCTACTTGAGCAGAACTGCTCAGATACTAATACTGGTTCAAGGAAGCAGTCTGGCGCGCCACGGTGTCTTGAGCAACATG